TCAAAGGCCAAAAATGTTGAAAGTATTTGGGAGCTTGTATCTAATCCTTAAAAGATTTTAGGGTTACCTCTTCAGAGGGCATAATGTTAGAGTAGCCAAAAGCCCCATAAAAATAAATAAAAGATGAAGAAAGAGAAAAAAAAGGGTCTGGAGCAAGGTTCAGGGTTGGGGCATGAGTTGGGCTGAAGCAAGGGAAGCTGGGTCCCTCACCTGGCATTTGAGGTCTCATGGGAGTGAGTTTTCTAGGGTGTCATGGTCTGGGGAAACTTCAGGTTTCTCAGAATCATCTTATCATCTACCTGTCCTAAATTGACTGTTCCCAAGTTAGTTCAGGTTTTTGTAATCATTCACAGTGATCATTGCCATGTCTCCTGCCTGGAGAGCTTGTGTTTCATTTCTCCTTTCTCCACTTCTTATAAATATCTGCCCACACTGGATTCACAGTTACAGATATCCTGGACTCTTACAGCTCCCAAACATGTTAAACCCCAAAGATGGCATAATCATTAACTGTGCATGTTTGCTCATATCTGAATCTTCCAAACTTACCTTTGCATCTTGAGTGTTTCACTATGAACACTTCATCCTTCAGTTCAACCTGTCGTTATATGGAATTTGCTGAACTAAACATTGGAATATTTGCATTTTGCACAGTGACTGGTGTGGTAGCTCTTGACAGTAAGGAAAGCACTGAAATGTTGGGATTGGGTCTCGGGAAATGCTCAGGTGGGTGTCTTACCAGGATCTCTTCTGGGCTTTTGTTGTTGAACCGTAGTCTTTAGCCATAATGAGCAAGTTGACTAAGAGAAGCAAAGGTTTTGGGGGGTTATTAACCAGTAGTGTGGAAATACTGTTTTCATGTGACCAATGAAAGCAAAGACATTTCTTTTCAGTTCATGTTATCTGAAAGACAAAAAAACATCTTGTCTGCATCCCTTGGCTGTTTGTAGAATCACACTGTCTTTATGATACTGAAACTTTACAGCTGCTAGAAATTTTTTTACAAAATATTGTAATAGGAATATAGGCTGTTTTCCATGTCTTCATTATTTGGACCAAAGGTCAACTTAATAAGAAAGCTTATCTTTACTCTCTACAACATTGTAATTCCAGAAAAGGAAAAACATACTGATACAAGTCCATGGGCTCAGCAGCCTGGACACTGACAAGAATGTGGCAGTGTCTGTCTTGTCCTAACCGTCTTGAGCTGTCTTGGCTAGCCCAGTATTCTAGGTTCCAGATGAGAGACAGGAAGCCAGTCACATCCTTTGCTAGCAATTATTACCTATAGTTGAGTAGCAAAAAGCAAAAGAATCTAGAGTTAATGGATTTCTTGTTATTTTAACTATTTGGATCTGAGATGGGTTTATTTTTAGGATTGAGAATGATAAATGAGGATACCCAGCCACTCATTCCATATCGGGGTCTTTTTAACCAAGCTCTGCCTTATAACCAAGAACCTAAATATTCCCTTTTTCTAATCTTTGCTCCCTCCCACCCTGTCCTCTTTCAATCTTTCTTTATAATTCCTCTAGTAAAAAGATCCTTGCATCGGCAGTAATATCTTTTAGAATAGCACTATCAGATTTTAGTATAAAAACAACATGTAGGCTTCAGAATTACTTCTGAGTCTGAAACAATTTGTGTTATCCAGGGCAGTTAACTCTGGGTTAAATAAATACAAGGTATTGATTCCCTCTTCAGGAATTTTTATTCTAGGGAAAAGCAGGAAGAGCTCAAACGTAGTTAATAAGGAAGGTAATTTGTTCTTCTTCGAGCTAAAAGAAAAGAAAATTCCTTCTGTGACCACTGGTCTCTGAGAAATTACCTTTCGAAAGACATTTCATTGCTCATAAGTGTTGAGGCCTATTAATAAAAACAGTTTTGTTCACTTTTTTGTCTTGAAAAAAAGTGGCCTTAGCTTTTTGCAATACTTGAATAAAGTGTGTATTCGCAAAAGAATTTCTGGAGCACAGCATTAGAGACTCGTAACTTTTCTGCAAGAAATTCAAGTTACATCTTCCTTTTACTACCTTAAGAATACTTGTAAATAAAACATTAATTCAAAGAGCAAGTGATAGAAACTACAATGTTTAATGAAAATTGTAGGAATTTGCATGTTTACAAATCGTCTTAAACTGGTTGTGCAGCAATTCAATCAAAATCTTTGTATTATAAAAATGTGAAGAAAAAATGTAAACTGATGCTGGGCGTGGTGAGGCATGCCTTTAATCCCAGCACTGGGGAGACAGAGGCAGGCGGATCAAAGAGCAAGTGATAGAAACTACAATGTTTAATGAAAATTGTAGGAATTTGCATGTTTACAAATCGTCTTAAACTGGTTGTGCAGCAATTCAATCAAAATCTTTGTATTATAAAAATGTGAAGAAAAAATGTAAACTGATGCTGGGCGTGGTGAGGCATGCCTTTAATCCCAGCACTGGGGAGACAGAGGCAGGCGGATCTCTGTGAGTTCAAGGCCAGCCTGGTCTACATAGTGAGTTCCAGGATAGCTGGGGCTACAGGGAGACCCTGTCTCAAAAAGACAAAAAAAAAAAGTAAACTGATGTAAAGGAGGTACTGTCATTTTAATTAACCTATGTTTAAAACCTTTTCCTTCTGGACTTTGCAAAGCCTTCTTGATAAACACATTGCAAAGCATTCTGTGGGGGCTCAGCCTCCTCATATGTACTGTACTGTGCAGACATGAAAAACAAACCTGTTTACTGTGGGCATATGTAGGTAGCCTGGTCATCAGGCTGTCTTGAGCCAATAGTCACACCCTGTGCAACTTTTCACAGAAGACTAGGGGTGTGGTTTGTAAGTATGCTCTGTAAAATAACTGGGATCAAGTCCCATGTACACCTGTGTAAATAGATTTGTTAACAAAAATGTACTTTAAGATAAAATCTGTAAATAAATCAATTTATAAATAAAAAAATAATCTGTCCAAATTACTCATGTTTACCCCAGTGGCTCTAGAACACACATGTATAGTACTGTCCCCCTTAGTAATATTACATAGTAAGGAATGCATAGCAAAACAGATGCCAATAAAAATTCTTTATATATAAGCATTGAGAGAGAGAGAGAGAGAGAGTTAGTTTATGTGTCTGTGTCTACGGCTGCGTGTCCGTGTGTGTCTGTGTGAATGTGACTATTTAGAAACTTTAAAAACTGAGTTCTCTTTCTTGTGTCTGTGTCTACGGCTGCATGTCCGTGTGTGTCTGTGTGAATGTGACTATTTAGAAACTTTAAAAACTGAGTTCTCTTTCTTGTATCTTCATCTCTTACTTTGAAAATCCCACTCCTATTTCTTTGCCTGTCTGAATCCTACCATGAAATATGGACCTCCCACTTTGGCACTCAATTATATATAAGTGGAAATCTCCCCTGGCATAAATAAAAAGGAAGGGACAGGACATGCAGATATTAGGTGAGGGATCCATTCCCAACAGAAGCTCTAAGCAGAACCCTACTTTGCCAATAAGACCCACTCCCAGCCGTCACTTGCCTCTTGGCATTCCATTGGATTGGCATTTCCCTTCAAGTAACATCATTTCTTCAGCTACAGCTCAAGTTATTTATAAAATACACATTTGCCCATATGACCATATCCATGGGGTGTGCAATCATGCATGGTCTATACTTGAGTCATGTTCATATCTTGCTGGAACTATTTTTGTACATATAATATTTTCATTCAGCTGTAAACAGCTGAATAGGACACAGAACAGAAGACAGTTTTAAGGAAGGGAACATGTTCTATCCCTGTGGGGTTTACTCTAGGGATTTGTCTACTTCACAGTTTCATTTCCCTCTAGACATTGAATCTCAATATGACTCATGAAGGTGAGGACAACATTTCAGCCACAAAGCGATTTGTCACTGACAAGTCAGAAGACATTCGCAAATTTTTCTAGTTTGCCTTCAATTGCTTTGACAAAACAGCCTGACCAATAGCAACTTGGGGAGGAAAGGGTTTATTTTATCTTACATCTCCCAGGTCACTGTTCATCACTGAGAGAGCCCAAGGTAGGAACTCAGGGCAGGAACCTGGAGCACAGACCATGGAGGATAGCCTCTTACTGGCTTGCTCCTTTGATCTGTTCTCAGTCTACTTTCTCATACAATAAAGAATAACCTGCCCAGGGGTGGCTCTGCCCACAGTGGGTGAGGCCCCCCCCCCACATCACTCAAAAATCAAGAAAATGCCCCATACACATGACTACAGGCCAGTCCAATGGAGGAAATTCCCAATTGAGGCTCCCTCTACCCAGGTGTGTCAAGTTGACAACTAAAGCTATCCAGCACACAAATCTATTCTTGAAAACTAAAGGGGGGAAGCAAGTTTGCTAGGAAAGTCGCTCGTCTCTCTGTCTAACACATGACCCATGCTGAGTGAGGGGGTTTAGTGTACATGAATATCAAGCTGCTACAGCTACTCAATGAGTATTTCTTTACCAAGGACTACAATGACTCTGTCTAGTCTAGTATACATAATATTCTATTATGTTGTGGCATCATGTATCACCACAGGTGGTAGGTTCCTTGTTCCCAGATATACAGGGTAGAGTACAGGTTGTTGAAGGAGTCTTTGGAGGGAAGTCAAGTAGAGGGATTCTGTGTGCCATTGTATCATGGCAGAAGAAAAACAACTTGACACTGAGGCTTGCAAAGCTGGGGAATAACCTTGCTTACCTCATATTATCTGTCTCTGTAGTCTGGCTACCTGCAGCTAAAATGAATCCCAGCACTTGGATCTGAGGCTGACATGAAATATGGGACTATGGGAAAGTTCTGATCTTGGCAGGATAGTCTTATCCTAGGCCTAGTCCCTTCAACAAACAGAAAACAAATCAAACCAAGAGGTATATACTTCATAGTACGTACTCTAGTTTTCTTCTGGATCATCAAGAACATCATCTATGAAAAATGTATTAATGGTCTCTGTTGCTTCAGATAAACTGGATGACCCATGGACAGCATTTCTCAAAATATCTATTCCAAACTTGGCTCGGATAGAATCTGGGGAGAGCAGTCTGGCTTCTTCTGGGTCTACTGGACCCATCATTTGTCTCCACTCTGCAACAGCATTCCACTTAGTCAAAACCATGACTGTAGATGGGCCCCTGCAAATACCAATGCTTTTAGAAGACAGGATCCTTCCAATGATCTGGGTTGCATACATGGCTAAAGACAGATGCCTCTTTTCTACCCAGGAAATTTTCCTTGATGTTCCTCCCTAACACCTCCCCCCATGTGTGTGTATGTGTGTGTATGCGGGGGGGGGTATTGTTAGAGAATGCTGTAGTTTAATTCTAGAGAATACATGTGAATGGATTCTTAGTTTTACTACCTTGGGGATCACAAAAACATTGTCCCGGACCCAGGACTTGCTTCAAGGTCACCCTTCAGCTTTTCTATTCCTTTAGGGATTACCTTCACTACAGAAAACTACCTTGCATAGACTGCCTCTCATACCCAGGGCGGGCTATATCTGGTGACTGACTACTATGAGGCTGCAAAGTCCTTCGTCTTCAGCCCAACACAGAACCACTCAGATGGAGCAGTTCAGATGGTCAGAAGAGTCTTCTGTCAAGTCTACACAGCACCATGACTCTTCTGTCCGCCCTGTCCCGATTCTTTTCCTTCTTCCACACTGCCCTAAATAAATAGCCTGAACCATAAACTCTGCTTCCCAGGAAATGTAGCCTACAACAGATTAGAAAGTCACTTTTCCTTTCTCAGTTGTCATGGGACAAGTACTTAAAGTCCTTGGGGCTTCCTGTGAGGTAGGTCTTGTGTTTTTCTCCTAGTTTTACAGATAAAACTAGGTTTAGCACAGGTTTAGCATTGGCAAGCACAGGTTTAGCATTGGCAAGGCAAGAATTTAAATTCTGACAGCCTTTCTATCTAGTGTGAAGAAGGAAGAAAAGAAAGGAGGAAGGCAGGGAAAATAGTAAAAACTCATAAAGCCTCAGTTAAAAGGTGACTTTTCATGAATCAGATGAATTATGAAATGTTATTAAAAATAAGTTTTGGTTCTCAGTTTCTATAATGAACATTTACCATTGTTACAATGCAGGCAATTACATTTCAGAAACTTACTCAGATAAGGATTCCAAAAGATGTTTATAAAAATCTTTTCCTACTATTTTGAAATAGATTTTGTCTATATGCTCTTGGAAGAGTTGCATTTCCTTCAGTTGGGTGATCATAAACCCTGCCTCCTTAATGAGCTTCAGGATCTCAGCTGAGGAAAGAAACAGGAGGTAATCTTGAAGATCGTTCATTACATGAAGATAAAGTACATCAAAACACCAGAGGAAAACAAAGGTTTTACTTGTGCATTGTGGTTTAACTATACAAAACTATGTAAAATGAAAATCTAAAAGCACCACATAAACACTCGGGAGACCTTCAGGATATTGCTGTGCATGTTCCACTTGTAACACCTAACAGATTGTCAGAGACAGGAGGGAGAGACCCGCTGAAGAATGAAGACACATTTTCATCTTTATCCCCAAATGCTCAGGATCGGGGAGAGCCAAGGTGAACACTTCTGCCTGCAGGGGCAGGGCACTGCTGGGCGAACTAAATGCAGTGGAACCCATCAGAATCTCACCTACAGCTTAAACATTGAGGTCTGCATTTTGGAGAAAGGAGCACCAATTGAGAGGCTGGGAACTTTCTAGTAAAGAAGAGAAGAATGAGGAGAAAAGGAGACCAAGTAGAGGGAGTAGGGAAAAGGAAGGGGAAAAATGATTCTCTCTCTCTCTCTCTCTCTCTCTCTCTCTCTCCCTCCCTCCCTCTCTCTCTTCCTTTCTTTTGCTCTCCAAATAAAAAGCATTTGAAAGTGATGGGCTGAGAGGAAAGATGGGTGAGACCAAAGCATGTCCAGAAAGGACACGGCCAGCATCTGCCCCAGCAGAGGCCCTATGAAAACAAATATATACCGAACACAAAGCCTTCCTCAGATGTAGGCCAAGCCTGGAAATGCATCATGAGAAAATGATTATTATAAAGAATAATGTGTCCAGTTCTAAACCACAGGCAAAGAATCGATTCTGTCTGAGAGCTCAGGGATTTCCTTTCAGAAATGTTGGCTTTCGTGTCAAGCACGGGAAGAGCAGAGTGTTGTTCCCAAGCAGGGGAACAGGGAAGGGGAAGGGCACTTTAGGCAGTTCAAGCAGCACATGTCAAGGTCAGAAGGGAGAAGAAAAGTGATAGGGTGAAAGCCAGAATTGATTGGATAAGGTAAATGGAGGAAGGGTTATAAAGAGCTTTACCTCATGATGACTAGTGTAAGAACACTTAACAGCATTCTAAGCAGTTCCATATTCAGGTTTAAACTCTAGGAAGGAGATTTCTTTTGAGGTATGGATGAAGAACTAGAATGGCACGGGTGCAAGGAACACTAGAAACTGACCCCAGGCAAGATGTTTATAGATTAATGCAGTCTCTGGAAGAAACCAAAGGAAATATGTTGCAAAAGAACTATGTTGTCATATTTGGGGATGATGAGAAAGGGAGCAAATGGCTGAGGTGAGTCTATGAGAAAAACAGAGCATTACAGATATGAAGCACAAATCCGCCTCGTGCCAAAGTCTTACCTACTACAGAAATGACTTCATTGCACAAAACCAAAAGAGCATTGTAAAGAGACAAGGTGACCCTTGCCCGCAGTGACATCACCTGAATCACCTGAGGCAAGCACGCAAATCTAACATATTTAGTAGTAGATTTGTTGTATGCTAATTCTTAACTGAATTCCTATAATAGGAAATAAAAGTTTTTTCTGCTTAAAAATATTTTTCTTTCCCTATCAAGGAAATCAAGAAGGAAAAAGGACAGAAAGAAGGAAGGAAGAGAAAAGAAAAGGAAGGAAAGGGATAAAGGGAGGACAGGAAAGAGGAGATGGAGGAAGAAGGGAGAGATAAAGGGAAGGAGGAATGAGAGAGAGAAAGGGGGAGAGAGGGAGAGTTAGAGCAGAAGGCCCAAAAGTCCAAAGGAAACTGTAACACAATGCTGTGTCAAGCAGTTGGGACATAAAAACAAATCAGAATTACAATTTCAACAGTGAAAGAGTCAAACAATACATAGTCTTAAAAGAAAAGGTATTATACTCCAGAAGAAAAAAAAAATCAAAGAAAAGTATAAATGTGTCAAAGAAATAAAGACTAAATTCAAAGGTGGCTAGTGGAGGATATAACTTCCAGCACATTAAAATACATACAGAAAAAGAATAAAATTAGCCAGGAGAAGGCAAATCAAACAGAGAAGTTGATAGTATAGTGATGATAGCAGCTGCCCAAGGATAAGCTTATGAACTGTGTGTATGTCTGTGCATAGAACTGTGTCTATATTAAATAGTAATTTAGCATAAAAGTGAACATTAAACATTCACTTGAATGCTAATACTATATATTTTCAATTTTTGACTTAATCATATTGAAATAATATAGTATTTCTCATGACAAATTGCACTGATAGAGATGCTCCTGTTATTTCCATTGGAATCCTTAAGGAAGAAAGTCAGAAGAATGGAAAAGACTGATATTTGATGCTATGAGTAAAGAAAACCATCTTGGAATAAAGACACCAGGAATTTAAACAGTGAAAGGGGTTAATGTGTACCTAGAAGAATAAACTAAAAATGGTTTTATACACAAATGTATATATACACATGGTATATATACAGCTTAGTTAAATTACCAGACTTGATGGATTAGAAAATCCTTCACAGCTACATATCTGACAGAGGATTAATATTCAGAATAGACAAAGAATTGAAAAAACAAAGAATCAAGAAAACAAATGACCCAATTAAAATATGGTCTATAGACCTGAACAGAGAGCTTTTAAAAAGCTCAGACTGGCTAAGATCAAGAGAACAAATGATACCAAATGTTGGAGAGGATGTGGGGAAAGGGGAACATTCATCCACTGCTGGTGGGGCTGCAAAATGGTTCAACCCCTATGGAAAGCAGTGTGGAGAACTCTTAAAAAACTACAAATGAACCTACCATTTGACCCAGTTATACCACTCCTTGGCATATACCCAAAGAACTC